TCTTTTTGCTTAAGGTTGTTTGGCTATTCTGGGTCTTTGTGCCTATGTACAAATTTTAGGTTTTTTTTTTTTTCTTTTTCTGTGAAAAACATCATTGGAATTTTGATAGGAATTACATCGAATCTGTAGATTTTTTGGGTAGTGTGGATAGTTTAACAGTGTAAATTCTTCCAGTCTGTGAACATGGGATATCTTCCTATTTATTTGTGTTGTCTTCAGTTTCTTTCATCAGTGTTTTATAGTTTTTAGTGTATAGATCTTTCACCTCCTTGATTAGACTTTTTCCCAAGTATTTTATTGTTTTTGATGCTATTGAAAATAGGATTGTTTTCTTGATTTCTTTTTCAGATAACTTGTTATTATGTAGATATGCTACTGGTTCTTGTATGTTGATTTTTGTAGCCTATAACTTTACTGAATTTATTTATTACTTCTAACAGTTTTTTTGGTAGAGTTTCCTACATATGAGATCACATCATCTGCAGAGACAATTTTACTTCTTTTTCTTTCCAATTTTGATGCTTTTTATTTCATTTTCTTGACTAATTGCTATTGCTAAGACTTCCAATATCATATTGAATAGAATTGGTGAGAGTGGACATCCTTGCCTTGTTCCTAATCTTAGAGGAATAGCTTTAGCTTTTCACTGTCGAGTATGATGTTAGCTGTGGGCTTGTTACATATGACCTTTATTATGATGAGGTATGTTCCTTGTATACCTAATTTGTTTAGAGTTTTTATCATGAAGGACGTTGAATTTTGTTAGATACCTTTTTTGCATCTATTGAGATGGTTCGATTTTTATACTTTATTCTGTTAATGTGGTGTGTCAGATTTTATTGACTTCCATATGTTGAACACTCTTGCATCCCAGGGATAATTCCGACTTGATCATGGTATATGATCCTTTTAATATGCTGTTGAATTTGGTTTGCTAGTATTTTGTTGAGGAATTTTTAGTCTATGTTCATCAGGGATTTTGGCCTGTAACTTTCTTTTCTTGTAGTGTCCATGTCTGACATTGGTATTAGAGCAATGCTGGCCTTGTAGAGTGAGTTTGGAAAGATTCCCTCCTCTTCAATTTTTGGGAAGAGTTTGGGAAGGATTGGCATTAATTCTTCTTTAAATGTTTGGTAGAATTCACTAGTGAAGCCATAGTGTTGTGAGCTCTTTGTCGAGAGCTTTTTAATTACTAATTCAGTCATCTTACTTTTTCTTGATCTGGTCATATTTCCTATTTCTTTATGATTCAATGTTGGTAGGTTTTATGTTTCTAGGAATTTATCTGTTTTTTCCTAAGTTATTTGTTGGCATATAATTGTTCACAGTAGTCTTTTATGATTGTATTTCTGTGGTATCACTTGTAATGTTTCCTTTTTCATTTATAATTTTGTTTGAGTCATCTCTTTTTTTTAGTCTAGCTACAGGTTATTCAGTTTGAAATTATTTTTTTGAAAAACTAACTCTTAGATTCATTGATCTTTTCTGTTTTTTCTAGTCTCTATTTCATTTATTTCTTCTCTGTTCTTTATAATTTCCTTCCTTCTGCTGACTTTGGGTTGAGTTTGTTTTTTTTTTCTTGTTCCTTGAGGTGTAAAGTTTGGTTGTTTATTCAAAGTCTTTTTTCTCTTTTCTTTCTTTCATACTTTTTTATTCTTTTTTTAAGGGATGAGGTCTTGCTACACTGCCTTGGCTGGAGTGCAGTGGCTATGCACAGGTGCGATTATAGCACACTTCAACCTTGAACTCCTGGGCTCCTGCCTCAGCCTCCCTGGTAGCTAGAACTACAGGCACATGGCACTGCACTGGGCTTCTTTCTTAACATAGGCTTTTATCACTATAAACTTCCCTCTTAGAACTGCTTTTGCTACATCTTACAAGTTTTGCTATGTTGTGTTTCCATTTTCATTTGTCTCGATACTTTTTGGTTTCTGTTTTGATTTTTTTCTTTGGCCCAGAGTGTGTTGTTTAATTTCCATATATTTGCGAATTTTCTAATTTTCTTCCTGTTATTGGTACTAATTTCATACCATTATGGTAAGAAAAGATACTTGATATCATTTAAATTTTCTTTAATTTAAGGCTTGTTTTGTGGCCTAGCATATGCTCTATCCTAGAGAATGTTCTTTGTGTGTTTGAAAATAATCTATATTCTGCTGCTGTTGAATGCAATGTTCTGCATGTTTTTTAGGTCCATTTTATCTATAGTAATGTTCAAGTCTGCTGTTGCCTTGTTGATTTTCTGTGTGGATAATCTATCCCTTGTTGAAAGTGGGGTATTGAAATCCCCTACTATTGTTGTATTTGCTGTCTATTTTTCCCTTCATTGCTGTTAATATTCTGTATATTTAGGTGTGCCACTATTGGGTGTATTTGTATTTACAATTGTTATATCCTCTTGATGAATTGCCCCTTTATTGTTATATAATGACCTTCTTTGTTGTGATAGTTGTTATTTATTTATTTTTTTAAAGAGACAGGTCTTGTTATGCTGGCCTCAAGCTCCTGGGCTCAAAGGATCTTCCCTCCTCAGCCTCCCTAGTAGCTATGACTACAGACACATGTAACCGTGCCTGGCTTGTTGTGACAGTTTTTGACTTAAAGTCTACTTTGTCTGATAACAGTATAGCCATGCCTACTCTCTTTCGGTTACCATTCTCATGGAATATCTTTTTCCATCTCTTCACTTTCAGCTTATATGTATCCTTAAAGCTGAAGTGAGTCTCTTGTAGATAGCATATAGTTGGATCTTGTTTTTGTTAATATCCATCCAGCCACACTGTATGTCTTTTGATTAGAAAATTTAATCATTTACTTTTAATGTAATTTTTGATAGGTAAGGATTTACTATTTTGTTAATTGTTTTCTGACTGTTTTGTAGTTCCCTTGTCCTGTTTTTCCTCTTTTCCTGTCTTCCTTTGTGATTTGATGACTCTTTGTAGTGGTATGCTTTGATTTCTTTCTCTTTCTCTTTTGTGTGTCTACTACAGGTTTTTTGCTTTGTGGTTACCTTGAGGCTTACATAAAACATCTTAATAGTTGTAACAGTCTATTTTAAGGTGATAACTTAACTTTGACTACATATGAAAACTCTGCATGGTAACTTCTCCTGGCCCCACTTTATGTTGTTAATATCACAAATTACATTTTTTATATTGTGTATCTAAACCAAATTACTGTAGTTATAGTTATTTTTAATACTTCTGTCTTTCAACTTTTATACTGGAGTTAAGTGATTTTTGCACCACTATTACAGTATTAGAGTATACTGAATTTAACTATATTCTTACCTTTACAGTGAGTTATATTTTCATGCATTTTCATGTGTTAGCATCCCTTTGTTTCAACTTACAAAAATGCTGAAGAACTCCTTTTAGCATTTTTGTGAGGCAGGACTAGTGGTGATGAATTCCCACAGCTTTTGTTTGTTTGGGAGAGTTATGATTTTAAATAGGTTACTTGGGAAAGACTCATTAAGAAAGTGACATTTGTGCAAAGGTGAATCATTAATGTTAGAGATGGGGGTGTGTCCAACAAGCGTAAAGCCCTGAGGCTAGAATGTGTCTGGCATGTTGGGAAACATAAAGAGGCCAGTGTGACTGGCATGGAATGAATGCTGGGGAGGAGAGGAGTGTGGAGCTAGGAAATTTAGGGCATGGTGGGCTACTATGAGGACTTCGGCTTTTACTCTGAGTGAGATGGAGAGGCATTGGAGGTTTGTGAGCAGAGGCACTGCATTTTAAAAAATATAACAGCTTCACTAAGATATAATTCCATATACCATACAATTCCCCCATTTTAAAATGGTTTTTAATATATTCACAGACTTTGTGCAACCATCACCATGACAAATTTTAGAGCATTTTCATTACTTCCAAAAGAAACCCCGTACTCATTAGTAGTCACTGTCATTTTCCCCTAACCTCTTAGCCTTAGGCAACCACTAATCTGTTTTCTGACACTATGGATTTGACTCTTCTGGACATTTTACATAAAAGGAATCATATAATGTGTGGTCTTTTATAATTGGCTTCTTTCACTTAATATAATGCTTTCCCTTTATTTTCTTTTATGAATGAATAATATTCCATTTATGGATATACCATATTTTATTTATCCATTCATCAGTTGATGGACATTTGGGTTGTTGCTAATTTTTGGCTACTATGAATAATGCTGCTATGAACATTTGTGTATACATTTTTGTATGAACATATGTTTACATTTGAGGTGCTACATTTTAAAGGAACAAATTTACTTGACTAAGGATAAATGACCTAGGTTCTTGTCTCAGAAGGAGGTTTGGTTACAGTTGCTACTTTCTTTTCTTTGTTGCCTCTTCTTACAGGGTTAGGTCATTTTTTTTCTAGCAATTTCCCTGTCCCTTTGTGTCTGTCTAGTTTCTCTGCTTTGGATTTCTTTGAGTAGAAGTTTGGCCACATTAAATAGGTTCCCCAAAAGATAGGATCAGTTCTATGTAGAGCCTTATGTAATTGGTAATTAAGGTATTATGATAAAATCTCAGTTTATGAAAATTCTTAAGTTACACAGTGTTTTCCATACTGAGTTGGGACTCACTGGTGAGTCAATTCAGTGAAAACAGCATTTAAAAAATGAAACAGAATAGGTATAAATACTACTTTATGAAATTTTGTTTCAATTAAATATATGTATGAACTGGGTCAAGATATAAAATGTGTGCATGTGTGTGTTTATGGATTGTATTAAAAAAAGTTTGAAGCCTCTGGGTGAGGATATCCTAGACTTTTCATGTAATTAACACTTTCTCTTCCATTTTATTTTTATTTTTTGGAGGGCATTGAGGTATTATTCAGCATGGAGTATTTAAATCAAGCTGTCTCATATCTAAACAGGGAATACATAAAAGCAAATTTTTTTGTTGTTTAATATAAACATGTGGGGATGAGATTTGTATCTTTTTATGAATAAATATTTTTTGATAATGTTATGATTAAGAATATATATATTTTTTATCATAGGAGTCACACTCCTTGGAATTATGTGGTAAATGATCTTCTCGGCACAGAAGAGAATTAAAGAATGATGGTAAGTGATGAAGCTACCTTAAAGGTAAACCTTAGTTTTCTGGCCTCCCTCTTGTCTTCCTTCCTTCTATTTTTCTTTAATTTAGAGACAGGGTCTTTCTCTGTTGCCCAGGCTGGAGTGCAGTGACACCATCATAGCTCACTGTAATCTCCAACTTGTGGGCTCAAGCAATCTTCCCACCTCAGCCTCCCTAATAGCTAGGACTATAGGCATGTACCACCATTCCTGGCTAATTTTTTAAAATTTTTATTAAGGGACAGGATTTTACTCTGTCGCCCAGGCTGGAGTGCAGTGGCGCACTGCAACCTTGACCTCCTGGGCTCAAGCAGTCCTCTTGCCTCAGCCTCCCAAATAGCTGGGACTATAGGCATGTGCCACCATGCCTGGCTAATTAGAAACATTTTTTTTATAGAGATGGGGTCTTGCTATGTTGCCCAGGTCTTAAACTCCTGCCTTGGCCTCTCAAAGTGCTCGGGTTATAGGTGTGAGCCACTGCTCCTGGCCTTCATTTATTTTTTAATATAATATTTGTTTCATACAAGATACTCTATGAAACACATTGTTGTAAAGCCCAGTAATAAAAAGAACAGCTATTCACCCTTAGAGCCCAGGAATCCTTGCTGCTCCCCAGATTTCCCCTTAACACTTAATGGTACCTAGAACTGGAATACAAATGGAAGCCAACTTTTTAAATGTTGTAATATTAAATGGTTACAAAATGGTCTCTGCCAACAGCCTGACTTGCTTTCCTTCTTAGGACCCAGGCAGCTCTTAAAGGAGTCATGGTCTTTCTGAGCCATGCAGGGTGGAAGTTGGGCCAGGGTAGTTCCTGAATCTGGGATGGGAACTGATGTAGTGAAAATCCCTAGAGAGCCAGGGCAAACAGGTTCCTGTTTCCCACACTTTACTCTTCTAACTCAAGATTTTCAGGCAATTCTAAGTATCTTCTTAAACTATTCAAACTGAAGAGGGAATGTAGTTATATGGGAAACCCAATCTGCCTAGACACGTCCTTTGGGATATTTGGAGTGGCCAATCTTAAAAAAGTAGATACTCTTACTTTGGTTTTCCCAGCACAGAGGCTGTGATTTGTCCCCTTCCTTTTCTACCCCTCATTGTCAGCCTGGGGGAACATAGTTCAGTTTGTGAGTCTCTCTGTCCTAATTCTTGTTCAGTCAATTTGTTACTGATTATCTTTGGGTTTTGATGTTTTTGGTAGGTACATCCTTCCGAAGTGTGGGGCTTAGGGAAGGGGCCCCTCTTCTGAGTATAAGGACAGGAGAACATCTGTTTATGGGCTCTTTTCTTACCTCATCCCTTCCCACTCTATACTCCCCCTTAGTTCTAAGGTTTTGATTTTTCACATCTGTCGTTTAGGGTCATTTGCCTTCCACCTGCTATATCCTGAGCATTTCCTATAATAGGGGGAGTCTTTTGGTCATAAACTCTGCTTTGTTTGTCAGCAATGTCTTTTTTTTTTTTTTTTTTTTCCCTGAACTAATTTTGAAAGATGGTCTTGCTAGGCATAGAAGTTAGCTTGACAGATTTTTTTTTTTCCTTCTCAGTATCTTGAAAAAAATTACTATCTTTAGCTTCTTTTTGATTTTTAGATATTTCTTTTTTTAAAAATTTAATTTTATTCTAATATTATATCCAACATGTACATGGTTCAAAATTCAAACTATAGAGCAGTATTCATTTAGAGAAATTTAACTTTCTTCTTTTGTACCAGAAAATTTGCTGTAGGATTTCTTTTAGTGCAATCGATTTGATAACAAATTTTCTTAGAGTTTGTGTGTCTGAGAATATTTTTATTTTGCCTTCATTTTTGTAGGATGTTTTGCCAGGTAAATAATCTAGATTTGCAGGCAGTCATTTTCTTTCAATATTTTAAAGATATTCCACAATTTATTGGTGTTTATCATTTCTGTTAGAAAATCAGTTGAGAGTTTTATTGTGACTCCTTTAAAGGTAATGAGTTTCTATCCCTTCTGTACGTTCTTAAGATTTTGTTTCAGGTTTTCATCAGTTTTCTATTATGTGTTTGAGTGTGGTTTTCTTTGTATTTATCCTGCTTGGGGGTTTGTAGGGCTTCTGGGAGAATTTGGCTAATCTCTTCAGTCAGTTTTAAAGCCATTTCCTTTCAAATATTTTTCTTGTCTCTCTGTTCTTTTCTTCAAGGTCTCAAATTATACATTTTTATACTTTTTCACTGTGTCCCATATGTGTCTTATTTTCGGTTTTGTGTATTTCTTATTTTCCTCTGTACTTTCATGCAGATGTTTTCTACTGTTACCTTTTCCAGTTCACTAATCCTTTCTTCTCTGTCTCATTTGTGGTTAAACCCATTTATTGAGCTCATAACTTCAGTAATATTTTATCTCTTGTAGGATATCCATAAGAATAAGAATCTAATTTTTTGCTTTTTCCTTTTATTTTTAATCCGATTTACTGATTTCGTATTCAACCCATTCATTGAATTCTTAATTTAAGTTTTTTTATTTTTTCTTTTCCAATATTATGATTTCTATTTGATTCTTTTTAGGTTTCTAGTTCTGCAGAAAATTTCAATCTTTTCATTTTCTAGGTCATATTAGAGTTACCTTAAAATCTTTGATAATTCTATTATTTTGATTATGTGTGAGTATAGACCTATTTTCTATAATTTTTCTTGGTTTTTAGTCATTTGACTTGTTTTCTAATAAGCCTGGTAATTTTTGATTGGGTATAGGACCTTATATGTGAATAATTGAACAGATAATTTGATGCCTAAAATGATAATATCTTCCCTAGAAGATTTACCTTTGTTTCTGGCAGATGGCTAGGGATGCCAGCAGTTGCAGTTTATTCTAATCCAATCAGGGATGGAGAGAATTCAAAACTGGCTCCATTGTTTGTTAGGGCTAATCTATTTCTTGTTCACCCTGACTCCTGGGATGATGCTTTTCTGGGTCCTAACCTAAAGCCTAGGGTGGCCTTGGACAAATTTTGTCTCCATGCTTTTTTGTCTGTCAAATTTTGCTCAGCTTTTCTGCCTTGGCTGCCTCTCTTGGAATTTTCAGGTGTCTTTGAGGGAAAAGCAGCCCTGATTGCTGGATTCACCTCTCTAGGTTTTTGTTTCTCCCAGTCTTGGCCCTGTAATTGGTCACTTCTTCCACTTTTTTCTGGTGCTCCTAAAATATTAAAAACAAATATTTGTTCAGTTTTTAAAATTTTTTTCAACTGGATGGTTGGTCTGAATTACCTAGTCCTTCATAATCAGAAGGGGAACCAACAGATTAGAAGTGTATTTCCTGTTCACTTAATAGTACAGTGCAGGTATTCAGCATGTGATCCTCTGCTTTGTGATTCTGGGACCAAATCTACTTCCATCTTTTGATTCCATCAGTTTATAGAGAGTCTTGTGCTTGCTGGATCCTCTGCATCTGGCCAGCAAGTGGGGGAAGTGAGAGAGAGAGCATAGATGATGATACAGGAGACTTTTAAAATTTTTTTAAAAATAAGCTCATTTTCCCCTATAACTTAGTCACATGGCTATCTACCTGCAAGAAGACTGGGAAGTGTTGTCTAGCTTTGTGACAGGAGAAAAAGTGGTTTTGGTGTACATAAGGTAGTCTTTGTCACAGAGGCTGTTCTAGTAATTTAGGCTTGAGATGATGATGGCTGAGACTAGGGTGGTGGTAGTGAATTTATGTTTTTGAGGTATATTTAGGAGATAGAATTGGTAAGATTCAATGTATTATTTAGAGTGTAGGCTAGTTAGCTATAATAGAGACTCTAAAACAGAGTAGCTCGTACAAGATAGAAGTTATTTTTTTTTATTATTTATTTTTTTAATTTCAGCATATTATGGGGGTACAGATGTTTAGGTTACTTATGTTGCCTTTGCCCCCCTCCCAGAAGTTAATTTTTTCCCTTTATAATAGTTTAACCAGCCTTAGTTCATCTATGGTTTTAAAGTATGGAGTATCAGTAAGAACCGACAAGGTTATCATAAATTACTGAACAGGATTCCAGCTCATCATTCTGTAATGTTAGAGAAATTGTACCAGTTACATGATTTCTCAGGTAAGTTTCATGGTTTATAAAAAGTGTATGCAAATGTTACCGTTTTATTTATTTATTTATTTTTCATTTTTAAATTTTTATTTCAGGGTATTATGAGGGTACAAACATTTTGGTTACATTTTACGTCTTTGCCTCACCCAAATGAGGGTTAGAGGCATGCCTTTCCCCTCTACAATGCTCCCCATGTCGTTTAGTTGTGAGTTTACCTCCCCTAATCCCCCTAATCCCTGGAGAATATTACTGCCATGTGAGCACCATAATGTTAATCAGTTAGTACCAATTTGATGGCGAGTACAAGTGGAGCCCATTCTTCCGATCTTGTGATACCTCACTTTGGATAAGGGGCTCAAGTTCAATCCAGGAAATATAAGAGGTGCTACATTACTGTTTTTTTTTTTTATTTCAGCATATTATGGGGGTACAGATGTTTAGGTTACGTATGTTGCCCTTGCCCCCCCACCAAGTCCGAGTTTCAAAATATGTTGTTTTTTATAATTGAGTAATATTCCATTGTATACCTATACCAAATTTTAATAATCCACTCATGAATTGATGGGCACTTCGGTTGTCTCCACATCCTTGCAATAGTGAATTGTGCTGCCATAAACATTCGGGTGCAGGTGTCTCTATTATAGAATATCTTTTGCTATTTTGGGTAGATGCCTAATAGTGCTATTGCTGGATCGAATGGTATTTCCATTTTTAGCTCTTTGAGGTATCTCCAAATTCTTTTCCACAGAGGTTGCACTAATTTGCAGTCCCACCAGCAGTGTAAGAGTGTTCCTGTCTCTCCACATCCTCGCCAGCATTTGTTGTTTTGGGATTATTTGATAGAGGCCAATCTCACCGGGATTAGGCGATATCTCATTGTGGTTTCGATTTGCAATTCTCTAATGATTAGAGATGTTGAGCATTTTTTTATATGTTTGCTG